TGATTATCAACATCATAAATAAAATTTTGATTTATTTGATCATTAATTGAAATTTGTTGATTACTTTCTTGTAATTGATTATCATCATAATGATATTCAAAATCATCTTTAGCATCACTTGTCCATATAAAATGACTTTCTAAATCTTTTTCAATTAAAGCTTGAGCTTCTCGTTCATCAGCATCAACGAAATTTTTATTTTGATTTTTTCGACGAAATCTTGGAACTAATTTTCTTTCTCTTGCATGATAAGATGAATCCATATTGAAACTTTGTATTTGTGAATTTTTTTAACACACTGAATCGACCTGTAACACGACACATACTTTGTTATTGACATGTTATTACGAAATAATATTACAAAGAATGAAAGAACAAAATGGAGTCATTTTTATTTGCTTAGAGTTATGTCTGATAACAGAAAAAAAAAAGAATCTAATAAAAAAAAACACATTATTATGAAATTATTTAATAAAAAATAACCAAAGACAAAAAAAAAATATTTCATTTCATTGAATTATTTCAGATAGAAAAATGTCACTTGCTGATGAACTTCTCGCTGATCTTGAAGAAATGGATGGAGGTCAAGGCCTCTCAAATAATGATCAAAATAATCTAACAAATGATCAATCAATGGAAGTTGATCAAACGTCTTCTGCAATTAAATCTTTACCAAATGCTAATAGTGTTCATGCTGTTGCTAAATTAAAAGATTCATTATTACTTAAAGAAACAATGAAAAAAATTGATTTTTATACAAAACATCAACGAAAATCTACAGCAGAAATTCAAGGTCCTGTTGAACATGATCCTGAATATTTACTTATTGTTGATGCTAATAATTTACTTGTTGAAATTGATAATGAAATTGATATTATACATAATTTTGTTCGAACAATTTATTATAAAAGATTTCCAGAATTAGAACAACTTGTTCAATTACCAATGGATTATCTTACAACTGTTCAGGTAAACAATTTTTATTTATTTTATAAGAAAAAGAAAAAAAGAACATTTTCATTGAATTTAACTAAGAAATCAAACTGAATAGAAGATTTAAAACAAAAAAAAAACTCATTAATTTATCTTTTTTTTTAGGAATTAGCTAATAATGTTGATCGAGCAAAAATGAATGAAAAATTACCAAAATTTTTGACACCAGCAACTATTATGATTGTCAGTGTATCAGCTTCAACAACTCAAGGGTATTTATTCATTCAATTTCATTATTTCAATTTTCCTTTTTTGTTTTTTTTTTATTTTGTAGGAAAAATTTAACTAATGAAGAATTAGAACGTGTTATGGAAGCATGTCAAATGGTTTGTATTTTTATCAAATATTTATTTATAATGTTGAACTTTTGTTTTTTTTTAGGCGATGAAATTAAGTGAAAATAAACAAACCATATTATCATATGTTGAATCTCGTATGACATTTATTGCACCAAATTTATCAATTATTGTTGGAGCATCAACAGCAGCTAAATTAATGGGTTTGGCTGGAGGTTTAACTAATTTAACAAAAATGCCTTCATGTAATATTTTATTATTGGGTGCACATAAAAAACTTCTTGGAGGTTTTTCATCAACAGCAGCTATGCCTCATGCTGGAGCTATTTTTTATTCGAAACTTGTTCAAGATTGTCCACCGGTTAGTTAGTTTTTTCATTTCTAACATTTATCTTATTTTTCGAGGTATGTTTGGATTTTCAAAAAAGGAAATCACCCACACTTCTGAAATTTCCATCAGCTCGATAACTATATAGCAGTGCAAATCAAAAGTTTTTAGACATATTGGAAATTTCAGAAATTTCTGTAAGTATATAATTGCGAAAATTTCTGAAATTTTCTTTTTATGAAGTCTCAACACTGCTGTATTTTTCAGTTTATCTTTTAAACATAGAGATAAATAAATGATTATATGATTATCATGTCAAACTCATTCATAAACATTTGACATGGATTTACAGAAGTATACTGATGCTTTAAAAAAGGGTGACTTTGAAATCCTTAGGTATGACGTCAATACATTGAAAAAACTAAAATAAATAAATTACGAACGAAAACTTTTTTCATAAGATAATTTCAAGACACGAAAATCTTCGCAAAGTTTTCAACAATATAAATGCATCTCTATCAACATATGACACGTTGAGAAACTGATCATTTCCAGTGTTTTATTGAGATTTTCTCTTCTGGAGAGGTGATTTAAAACTTCGTGAGAGCAAACACCTATTTTGTGAGCGCCAACACATAGAATGTCCTTGAATAACCACAATTCCCGAAAGGGCCAATCAAATCTTCGGAGAAGTAGGGAAGAGTATACATTAGAATACAGACTATTCGCAAAAAAAAACGTTAGCACAATTACACATTTTTATTAATTGAATACTTTTAAAAGGACAACATATCTTTGAGAATATCTTCATATTTCTAAGATCTTATGGGATCCTTTTTAGTTCGAAATTTGTTGTTTTTATTTTGTCAATATAGCAATAATTATTAAGCAAAAATTAAATAAAATGATAAGAAATCCATCTTAATCAATCATAACTCGAAATCATTTTCGAGTTATTTTAATCTCTTAATGTTATTTTTATATTGAAAAGATAAACGAAAAAAACAAATGATGAAACTTGAAAATATTTGTTAATAATTTTAATATTTTTGTGTTTAGGATCTTCGAGTTCGTGTAGCACGTTTAGTGGCATGTAAAGTAACATTAGCTGCACGTGTTGATAGTTTTCATGAAAGTCCAAATGGTGAACAAGGAAAATATTTATTAATTGAAATTGAACGACGTTTAGAAAAATTACAAGAACCACCACCAGTTAAAGCAGTTAAACCATTACCACCACCACTTGATTCTGGAAGAAAAAAACGTGGTGGAAGACGACATAGAAAAATGAAAGAACGTCTTGGAATGACGCAATTACGTGCTGAAGCTAATCAAATGAAATTTGGAGAGGTTCAACTATTTTATTTAATTTTAATTTGTTTTTTTTCTTAACTTTATTTTTTTTATTATTATTTAAGATTGAAGAAGATGCTTATCAAGATGCAATTGGTTTTTCAACAGGTATGATTGGAAAATCAGGTTCTGGAAAAGTTCGAGCGGCACAAGTTGATTCAAAAACAAAAGCAAAAATTTCTCAAAAAATTCAAGTTTGTTCTTTTATCTGTGTTTTTATTTTCTTTCATTATTTTATTTTTTATTTAGAAAACTTTACAACGTCAAAATAATCCATATGGTGGAACAACAACAGTACATAATAGAAAACAAATTAGTGGAACAGCATCTAGTGTTGCTTTTACACCACTTCAAGTAATAATGTCATTTTTATTTTTATTAAGTTGTTTTTTTCTTTCTTTTTTTTTCTAGGGTCTCGAAATTGTTAATCCAAACGCAGTTGAAAAAGATAAAACTGGAATTGAAAGTCAAAAATATTTCTCGAATACATTTGGTTTTACTAAAATTAGTCCATCAGTTATTCCAAAAGCACCTTGATCTATTTATGTGTTTTTGTAAATAAATAACAATAGACTATATTAACAACAATTATTTGTTTTTCAAGTGGTGATTTTTTTTTTGTTGTCTTAACGATGTTTAACACAGAAGTTTATTTGAATATAAAAATATTCAAATTAATTCTATTCTATTATATTAAAATCATCAAAACAGATTATTCAAATCGTATAACAAATTGATTCATATTGAAATATTTAATTAAAGATTAAGCCAAAAAGAATTTCGATAAAAATACACTGAATTTGTTTTTTTTTAAAATTATCTTACGCTTATTTAACTGAAGGAAAATATTTGAATCAATCAAAAACGTTAACTTGTTTAGCTTTTAATTCGATATTTTTGTGCAAAATTCAATTGTCTACACACACAATTAGATATTTTATGCATTAGACTTGAAAAAAACTAAAACATGATGAACATTCTCATGCAATCTACTAAAATTCGTTTATTTTAAATATATCTTTTAGAATTGAGCAGAGTTTCTCAGTTAGCTATGGAATGCATAAAGAAGAAATAATTCCGATGGTTGGTTCGAATCATTTTATGAATCAGAATATAATGTCTCAATCCGACAATGTCCAATTACAATCATAAAAAGAAGAACCTGAATATCATAGTTCAGTTTCCAAAAATTCGGTCGTCATTCAGCAAAGAACAATTTTATGCTACTCGTCTGATAATGTCATGTCAATATAAAATCTTTTAAGATTTGAAGCTTGCACGATCAACAATCTTTAAATGAAAATAAAAGTTTGATTGTATATGTGGAAAAATATTTCACTGTCAACTTTTAAATAGTGAAGAAATCAATGAACTTTCTCTAGAAAGATAAAACGTTGAAGGAAAAATATATAACTCATAAGAGGAAAATTGATAATGAAAATGATTGCTGTCTGTCACTTAACAATTTGAAAGAAAGAATTTTTTTTGTTATTATGTAACATGTCAATTCGAATTAAAATAGAAGTCAATACATTAAAACCAAGTTCAAACATAAGAAACTTTCGATTAAAACGTGTAAAAAAAAAAGAAAATTTATAAAATAAATAATGTTCGCTGAGCTTTATATGTATAAATGAGATTTTCTGTAAGACATTAGTAACGACCTCATCAAAATACTTTTTTGTGAGAAAATGTTCATTTGTCAGATCCATTTAATATAGAAAGATTCGATATTTCATTAAATTATTTTATGGTTTGAACGACTGCAATCCTTTTATTTTATGTTTCGATCTATTTTTAAGTGACATTGCAAAATTTTGATCGAGAAAAAGAAAAAAAAAAATGATGGATTCTTTTCTTTTTGTATTTTGATTTTTTTATTTCGTTTGTGATGACGTTTGCTTCGAAATATATGCATGACAACTAGTTACTGGTTGTGACAAAAATAAAAGAAAAAAAACAAATGATCTAATTTAATTTTTATTGCTTGTTGTTTTACTTTAGACAAAATAATTAAAATAAATAAATAAATGATATTGAAAATAATTGTTCGTTATATAATTAATAAATATATGAAAGATTATATTGAAAGATTAGATGATGAAAAATTAAAACTTAATCTTAAACATGGTTACTTTTTTTTGTTTTTTATTATTTATTTATTCATTTCAATTTTTTTTCTTTTTATTTTATCTTAGGAAATGTTTTATTAGAAAATCTTCATTTGAAACCGGAAGCATTGGTTTGTTCGTTTTGTTTATTTATTTATTTATTTCATATTTATCATCTATTAAATTACATTAAAAAACAATTTTTTAATCAAATAATGAAATATTTATCTGTTATAGGTTGGATTGGGTATTCCTGTAACAGTAGCTACTGGTTTTATTGGTTAGATTTATTAATTAACATAAATTAATTAATTTTATTTTTTTTATTAGAAAAACTTTCAATCGCTATTCCATGGAAAAACCTTCAATCACATCCAACAAAAGTAGAACTCGACGGATTCTATATGTTGATTGTACCTAAGAATGGTACGGTTTTTTTCCTCATAAAAAGAGTTTTTTTTAAGTTAATAAAAAAAAAACAATTTCATCAACTTTTAAGAAATAATATTCCTGAAAAAAATTGAATTGATAGTTTTGTTCTGTTGAAATAGGTGAATAAGGATGCGGCTATTTAAGTGTATTTTGTTCACCTTAAGTCAAAAATTGTATTGAGCTCTTCTCAACATAGATTTTTCTGTGTTTAGTTGTTCGTTTATCAAAGACTTCTCAACCTTTTTAAACGCTCTAAAACTCTTTGAAGATGTTTTATAATGAAGCGATAGCTATCTGCTAAAGCTTGATAGAGTCAGATATCTTTTTTTAAATTATTTCATCCATATTCAAGAAAAAATGAATTCCTTTCGAAAACATCACTCTCATTTTTCAAATTCTCTACATATTAACATCAATCCGATTTATTTATCATCAAATTTGGACAAGAAATCTTTGCCAGACGAATACCTTTTTTTTGACCGTTAATATTAGTATAACCGTTGATCAGATGAATATTTTTTGGTCGAATATCATCTGTCAACTATCTAGGCCGGTACATAGATTCCATGGAAATTTTAGTAAGATCAATTGTCCAAGGACAAAAATAGGTTTTTGACAGAGACCGAAAAGATAAACTTTAGCGGATAAATCGATGAACGAATATATAGAAACAAATTAATTTTTTTAGAAGTACATCAAGATTTGCATGAATATCATGCAGAAAAAATGAAACGAGTTCAACGTAAATTGGATAATCTTAGAAAAGCAGGATTAGGTAAAATATTTGCTTTGATTTTAATCGAATTTGTTTTTTGATAATAATTTATTTATAGATGAACAAAAACTTGATGAAAAAGAAAAAGGATTTTTTGAAAAAATAAAATTTCAAATGTTACAAAATCTCGAAATAACTCTAAGAAATTTTCATATTAGTTATGAAACAAAATCAACAACTAAATTGGGACATCCATTTTCATTTGGAATTACAATTCATTATTTACAATTGACTGTAATTTATTCTTAAATTATTTTCATATTTTCATTAATATATTCATTTAGACAACAACAAATAAAGAACGATTAGGAAAAGTTAAAGAAAATACACTTGTCATTGCTCAGGTTTTATTATCTAAAAATATTTTCTTAATTTATTTAATTTTAAAATGTTATATTAGTTTAAAGAAATTAAATGGTTATCACTCTATTGGAATACTAATTGTACATCAAGAATTCATATGCCATTTGAATATGTTGTTGTTAGTATTTAAATTATCTTTTTTGATTAAATAATATTAGAAATTTTCATAAAATTATATTTGAAAATATTTCAATCATTATCTAAATTGTTATTATAGCCAGAAGGGATATTACCACAATAAAACATACTTGACAATATTAAAATAAAAAAAAATACTTTAGATTGGAAATATTGTTTAAGAATAAATTGAATAGTTATTCAATGAAAATTAATTTACTTTTCTTAAAAGAATTTATCTTCAGATAAATTCAATTCTGATGTTCTTCGATAACATTTTCTTTCTAAATACTTCATCAGAAGTACAATATTTCGTAAAAAGAGTCTAACTGTTGATCAGTAGATCATAGACTAGAGATGTCAAATAAACATTGCTATTAGAATCATAATAATGTTTTAGGAATTAAGATTAAAGCTAACCTTAATGGTTTGTTTTTATTTTCATTAGAATTAATTAATACCAAGCTTTGACCATTATTTTTAAATTTTAATACATATACTACCTGGGCCAAAATCAAATAAGATTACTCGGATTTTGGAACTTCTGACATTCGAATGTTCGAGATCTAGTTGTCCACAATCTATGTACTTTCGGGATATTTCTTTATTAATTTAATCAATTGTATTTTTAATTTTTTAAAATTTGATTGTTAATTGGTAAAATGTATTTTAGGATGATCTTAAATCAAAAATAGCGACCAATGATAAAGTGACAAAAAGCGATGAAATGAATTATAGTTTGAATATTAAATTGAATATTTTTATTTTGTTAATTTAATTGTTTTAAAAATAGTTTTGCATCCAGTCAATTTGAATTTTGCATTTAAAGTCGGAATAAAATTTGCTGAACAAAATTTTCAACGACCAATATACAAAATAAAATTTCAAATAGAACAAATAAGTTTTGGAATTGATCCAAAACAATTTTCTGATTTACTTGATTTTATTAAATTTCAAAATTATAGTGTTTTCTATGGTATTACCATTTATATTCAATCATTTTATTGATATATTTTTTTTTCTGTCTATTTTTCTAAAAGATCGATGTCGAGAATATCGTCAATTGTGTTTAAAAGATGTAATTGGAAATACAAAATTAACGAAAGAAGAACAAGATCGTATTCAAGTAATATCTTTTTTTTTCTATTTAACGAATATTTTATATTTGTTTAAACAAAAACAAAAGATTCTAGAATCGAAATTAGATGCTTTCACAATGGCATATATTCGACATAGTGTTGAATTAGAAGTATATTTTAATTTATTTTCATTGAAATTTTTTGTTTGAATGATAGATTCTAGACTCATTTATATTCGGATACAAGTGCCTATCATGATTACAGTTGGTGGAGTTGGTGGTGGAATGAAAGAACAAACTTGAATCACGGTTTGAAATATTAACATATATTTCTTTATAAACTAATGAAGAAATCTATCCAATTGATATTCTCCGTTTCAATTTATGCTTTGCTTATACATACAATTTATCGTCTAGATTAAAATACAAAAAATCTTCGTCAAATAAGGTCTTTCTTCTAGAAAATTTTAAATCGAAATTCGTTATTATTGTTTCATTCGTAATATCGTTTTATAGATTGAGCATTCATTAAAATGAGCCTAGCTCGAGGAAGAAAGATCTCATTTCATGAACGAGAGAACGTTATAGGTCGGTTTTCTTCATCCTCTTTTGCAAAATGCGTGGCATTACCACTTAGTGGTTCTGTTTTACAGAACAACGGACAGACCATCAAAAAGTTCTTCCTTGCAGAGCAAGGAACTTCTCCTGCGTCCAATCTCCAGAACGATCTTTTCGTTGTATTTTTAATAAGAAAAAAATCCATATCTCTACATGAAGTACGATGTTAAATGTCATAGACGCACTAATTACTTTATACAAAAATCATTTACAGTATAATCATCTTAATAAACCTTATTACATGGTTTCGAGTAGAAATAAAATGAACAACAAAAAATACTATTTGACATTCCTAGGGTGAATAAAACAAGCATAAAGATGCAGAATTCAATATGTAAATAATACAAACAGTTTGATAATGAGAAGGGATAAATTTTATTTTTATTACGTTGTCTGAAATTTCTCGTATGAAAAAATAAATAATAAGTTATCAATTCAACCTGTTGATAAACATATTCGTTTTTGAGTAAATGTCAATGCAGCTGATCTAAATAATCTTTCGACCGAAGCATTAGTTGCTGATATTGCATCTACTCTGCTGACTACTATTCATAATAATAGAAGATCACGACGAATGTCACTATTAGACTAGAACTTCATTGGATCACGATCAATTAGATGACTTGAGTGTCCTGCAGGATACGCGTCCTTTGATGTTTTCTTTCATGAACACTTTTTGTATTTTAATCTGGACTATGATTTCTGTCTATGAGAAAAATCTGAGCTCCAACGTAAAATATCAGTCGGACGGATTTTCTCGTTAAAAATTATTGATAAAATGAACTAAAATAATCTATATGATTTATGTAAAAGTGGTTATCTAATCGAAAGAATATTATATATATTAATTCTATTATGTTTTTAGGTCATCATCGAATAATCAAAGGAAATATGCATGATGAAGATGAATTTTTCTCCGAAGAGGTTGTTTTTATCTCTATGAAAATATTCTATAAATGTTAATTATTGTTTCATAGTTGTTAGATATTGATGCACAAATAACAATAAACGAACTCGATCTTGCTTTATTATCACCATCAAAAAGAAAAAAGTAAAACAATTCGATAATTTATTTATTTATTTTTTTCTTAAAATATTTTCATTTATTTAGATTAAATGAAAAAAATAAAATAATTACTCATATTATTATGGAGAATACTCGAATTGATTATAAACGACGAGCTATTTCGTCGAGTATCTTGTATAATAATAATAAAAAAAATCCTCATTTATATTTGATCTGTTTTATTCATGTTAAGAGTTGTACTTGATCTTGAATATTTTCGAATATTTGGTTTAAAATCTAATGAACAACATCAACCATTAATATTGACATCATCTTCAAAGTCATTAAATTCATTGATACATCTAGAATTTGAATTAGCTCCAATTCATAAAAAAGCAGATTTTCGATTTCTTTTAATAATTGAACCATTGTCAGTTATTTATCATGCTGTAAGCAAACAAGATAAATGTTCTTTTTTTGTTCTCTAAAGAAATTTTTAATGAATATAAAGTTTATTTTATTTAATAGGCAACAATCAATGAAATCGTTGCACATTTTGAACCAATTGATAAAAATACTTATTCTCTATCTTCACAGTTTGTTTATCGAAATTAACTTTTTTATTTTTTCAAAATATTAAATTTTAATATTATTTAGAATAAAACAACGAACATTTCTACAGATGGAGCATGATTTATCTAATAAGAAAATCTTTGATATGACTATGCAAATCAAAGGTTTATCACTTTTCTTACCAGAATATGGATATTTTAAACAGTTTACGATTTTATTCTTCTTTTTAGTTTTTTATTTTTGGATTCTGTTTTTTGTTTTTCTAGCGATTGTAAGACAATGATTATTCGTTTCACTAATTTAAAACTAAGCTCATGTCTCAATGATGATGATAGAGAACAAGATGATGCTTTATTTCAGGTATTTTTTTTACGAATATATATTTATTCGATTAATTAATTAAAATCATTTTTTAAATGTTTTTTCATTAAAATAGCATTGGTTTGTTTAGAAATTGGATTTAATATAGAATTAAACTATTTTCGATAGGAAGTTGTTTCTGACAATATAAGAACATCTAATATATTGATAATATTCATTGAATATAATAACAAAACATATTTTATGAACAAGTTTCTGTGAAACTAACAAAATTTAAAAAGGATTCGCCATGGTGATAATGATCGACTGAAATTTTCATTTCAAAGGAAAATATTTTTGAACAAAAAATGAAAACAAACTATTTAGACAGAAAATTTTCTTGACAAATAGATCGAATTGTCATTAGAAGAGCCTGAAAGTTTTCTAGAAAACTGATGTGTTGTTTTCGTAAATATAGTTTTCTCTTCAACTTCATTATTGCGTCTTTCTAACGTAAGTTGTTTTTTTTCTTTGAAACTTGTTTTCCTTCAGTTAAATATTTAGTAGAATAATCATACCTCTTGGATATTAGTCAAATGAGATCTGAACCACTCGAAGCATTACTTAACTTGAAACTTATATCAGTTGATAGAACGTGAGATTCTGAGTCTACTCAACCTTACTCTAAGCCATTCTGGAAAAAATACCAAGACGATAAAATGTAAAAACTTTTTGCGGTAGCCCACTTGGAGCCAAACGCTCAAATAAATAAATGTTCTGAAAAATGACGTTAGATATATTTGACTTCATTATCCAAATATTTATTTTGTTGAGCTTTTAGCTCAGATGGAGTACAGTAGAGTCAGAATTTCAAGCACTATCGACTAGTATATGTCCCAAATAAAACAACTCCCAGTGTATTTGACCAATAGACATACCTATTTTTCAGTAAGTCACAGATCTCAATCCTTTTTTAATTTATCAACAACTTTGCGAAAATAGAAACGCACCTACTCGAACATTAATAGTCTGTTGTAATGATTGTTAGTAGATTGAAATAAAACGAAATTAAAAAAATCTGTTCTGTTTATTTTCATATTAATATTATATTGTGTGATTATTGTAGAAACAAATGAGAGAAAGACGATACTACATTAAATACAAGTTCCTATTAAATGATCTTGAAATAATTTATTCCGAATCAAGTATTTTGTTATAGGTCTAAACTAAAACTTAATGAATAAGTTTTTATGTATTTTAGGCAAAGAACAATTGCGTATATTACGAGCAATTCCATTGATTGACACGAATTTTTACAAATGTATTTATTCAGATGATGCTCAATTAACAGAGTAATGAATTTTATTTTGATTAAAAAAATATTTTAAGATTCACGTTAAATTTTATGTTTTAATAAGCAAAAACAAGCTCTATAAAAATTGACTCTTCATATATAAAAACTAGATATTTTTATTGTATTTTGTTAATTAGTTGGCGTATTGCTGTTAAAATAGTACAAATGGCTGAAATTGAATTATCAAGAATGATAATGACCAAATTGAATAAACTTCATCGATCAGTTCCATTATTTTATTCAGCAATGTCAGAAACATTAAATCGAATTAATCTATTTTGTAAAATACTCATTCATCCTTGTTTTATTTTATTAATTTATTATATTTAATTATATTTCAGTTAATATATTTCCTCCTCATACAAGTATTGAATGTAATATATCAATTAATAAATGTTCTTTTATTATAATGAATTCGAAAACATCGATCAAAACACGTTAGTTACTTTATCTTCCTGATTTCTTTTATACTTTTGTTTTTTATTAAAAAGATATTTCCTGTCATATACTGAAGACAAGAAATGAAGATGAATATAGTAAATCAATAAGAGTTATATTAAAAAATTTATCAATGATACTTCATTCATCTTTAATATCTATCCAGTAAGATTTTGGTATTTTATTTTATTTTAATTAAATAAAAATATTATTCTAGATCATCTTGGCCGTTTTATCAAAATAATGCTATTGAATTATTATATTCTGATACTGACACTAAACTATGAGCAGTTTTTCAAATCTTTCTATTCATCATTAATTTTCTATAATAAAAATAATAACAAGTGTTCTTATAGAAAAAGAGCGAGGGCCGATAAGGCCATTTTTCTGCCCCCCAACAAAATTAACTTTTTTTATCGATTTGAAGTAAGACTTGACTCCTGATGATGTTCCATGATTTTTTTTCGGATAGCTCACCAAAAAGTTTTTGGAACCTGTGGTCGTCCACGGGGATCTCTGAAAAACTTTTTATCTTTGATTTCATTTAAACACACATTTATTGATAGACTCAAGTGTGGTGATTACGAATATCAATATACTAAGTGCTCAAAGATTTTTAGTAAAAGAAAAAAATCAGCCCTTTTGAGGTGCTCGTTTGGCTTTAAACCTAGGTTTTTGGCTCTATATCTCCTTCATTCGTTATTTTAACCTAATGAAAAAACATTCATAATAGCTAAAACAATGTGATCTTGTCGAATATGAACTATAAAAGCTCCTTCAGTACATCATTGGCTACAAAGCCTGCTTTATCTGTAAGTTCTACAGAGATTGGGGTTTCCAAATCTTTTGATAGCAGATTAGAACCAATGTGAAATTTGGACTGAATACCTAATTTTGGATGTTCTATCCGATGGTGAATTGAAAAAGC